ATTGGATTCATTCTGCAGGTCTGGTGAACTAGAAGCTTCAAACAACAAAAAAGTGTTAATTGGTCACAAGTATTTTATCTAAATTTGTTAAATTTACTTTATTTACATTTGTTTACCTGTAAATAACTTAGCAGACTGAATTTGATTACTTGTGATTAGTTAATGTAATACATTTAAGGTGGATCATCTCTCCTTTTTTCAGGTCTGCCTTTTTTTTTGGTTTGGGATTTTAATTTGATCCCAAACTGTTTTATTAGAGTTTATGTTGGTCGTGTGTAATCAGCAAAGCAGCAGAAAGAAAAATCCAAATTGAGGTCAGATGCAACCAGATAACAGATACATTTATGATTTAATACTGTTTTTTCTATCTGTTCATTAAATGCAATGGCAAAATTAAAGTATCTAAATTTAACCCTACGAGTGAATGATGTGGGTTATGTTTTAACCCAACCAATGATTCCTAAAACTTTGGCATTTTAAACCAAATAGATTTAATTAACTTCCTTAAAAGGATATTAATCTGTGACTGAGCTTCCTCAAACTGAAATAACGATTCGCATGAAACAAATTATCCCACAGAAGCAAATCTATCTTTTAAAATAATTTCATGAGAACAAAAAGGGGAATTTGTATTTTTAAGTTAACTTTGTGTAACTTATTTATTTAACAGTTTCAATAATGTTGACCCTCATACAGCTGCTAGCTGTTTTCTTTAACTGAAACAATTAATTGTGATTCATCAATTATTGAAATAATCGTCAACTAAATTAGTGATCGATTCATTATTAACAAGAGAAAGCACACTCAAAATAAGGCAACATGCATGAAACAATAACACAGAGAGGGCAGGAAATAAGACAAAACACTGCAAAAAGATTACAAAAAAAAAACTACATTGTTTGTTCATATTTTCTACACAGAATCACTCAGATGGCAATTTTAGTTCAACTGGTTCATATTCTCTTATTAAGCAGTTTTTTCAGTCCAATTATTAATCAGTTAACCTGATAATGTCGTCACCACCCTTTACTAAATCAATGCCTGATTAAGTTCAGTTAATCTTTTTTCATGTTGACTTTTGAAATATATCTTCAGCTCCAGATGATTCTCTGTTACAAATATTCTCCATTTTAGGCCATAAAAAGAAAAGTTTATTTTAAAAAGTAAATTAATTCCTTGCTTATTTGCATTTTTGAGTACTTTTTTATCCAGTTAATCGATTTATTTTCAGACTAACTGATAGCTAAATGAATCGTTAGCCGCTGCCCGACTGATTTTACAGCCGGATTCAGCAGAGAAGCTGCAAAGTAAACGTAAAAGTTGAGGCACAGCAGCTTTAGGCCACATCCGGTCTCTGCACTGACATGACAACAAACTCCTAATATGGTGAAAACTCAACAGCAGAGCAAGGCAAGTGACGTGAAGAAAGACTGAAAAGACGGCTTACGACTTCCTTTTTCAGTCGCCTGCATGACGCTGACAGCACAATTCAAATTTCAGACTGAAAGCGTGGCTTTGCAAACCCAAAGATGTTGCATCAGAAGCGATTTTCAGGTTTATCAACTGCATGAAACTGAAGCAGTGGATGCATTTTCTCGCACCTTGTTGAGGGGCAGCACCATGAAGGCCCCGCCGCCACTGGCGTCCACTATCATGGACACAAACTTGGGGTTGACGGAGCAGAAGTTGCTGTCCCAGGTCATAGTGGAGATGCGGATGTCATCGTAACACTGGTCGGCCTTGACGGCCTGGCCAAAGACGTGACGGAACTTGCTGGTTCTCACAACCTTCCTGGACATGGTGAACTGGGCAGGAAGCAACAAAAAAAAAAACACAATTTTTATTTGATAAACACAACATGCATGATATATGTGGCCAATTTGAGCATTTCTGATTTCAGGTTGAGACAGACCAGCTGGCACAAAGCTGATTGCACTGCAGGAAAACTAGAAAAAAAAGGGGAAGCAAAAGTTTTCACAACTGCTTCCTCTTGTCCGTCTGTAACTGTTGCCTCTTCTCTCTTTAATTCAAGCCACAATGAAGCAATTCTGCATGCTGACACAACCATACAAGGTAATATAGAAAATCTAACACCAGAAGATGATGCTATGATGTTTGAGGTTCACACATCGTGACCCTAAAAGGCTAAAGCGACGGTTTCACCACATCCTTCAAGACAGAGGAACAAACCTTCAGACTTTTCTCTTATTTTCCCTCCACTTTCTCAAAAACACTCATTTTTGTTCCCCTTCCCCTTTAAACAATCACATAAAACAAATATCTTCAAATAAAGTGTCAGAAAAAAACAGTCAAATCGTTTAAAATTTGAAGTCCAACGAAGCTTTGCATCATTTACAGTAAGGCTCGTTCGGAAAATTAAACAAACAGAAATTGGGTTCTGTTTTACCTCCATTTGTAGATTTTACTTCCTGAAATCTGCAGCCGCGCCTAAGCTGAACACAGCGTACAGCAGTCCTGCTGCATGTGCATCACAAGACATCTGAGGCAGCCCTGCGCCTAATTTAATAAGCCCTTCTGCAAAACAGAAGGGCTTGTAATTTCATCACAAGCCCAAATGCATGTCAATAACCTGTGACTCCCCGCTGGGGTGGAAAACATCGCAGGCCACAAATCCCTCCATGTGAAGGAAGAGAAACCCAAACCATGTGGAATTTGAGGAAGAAAGAGCTTTCATTTAAATCAGAAACTTTCTGTCGCTGCATGATTTCTTGTAGCAGGTGAGGAGTGATTCTGCGGGCTTACCTGGGAGTCGTGCACGGGGAAGAGTCGGATCAAGAAGTGTCAGCAGTGCACCCTGCCACCAGAGTGATGGCGCAGGGGAGACGCTATGTTAAAGTACATCACAGAAACGACGTGAAGGAAGTGAAAATTTCAAATGAAGGTGGAAGTGGGAGGTGTCTCCTGTGACATTTCAGGGTTTAAAAAGCTGCACAGGGCAACAGCAAAGAAACATGCAGAAGTTGTGAGATTATAACCAGATAAAATGGAGTTTTATGCTCTGGAGCATCCAGGTGAGCAGCAACGTGATGCCAGAATGGAAACAATTAGTCGGATTAATCATGATGAATCGATTAAAATAATCAACTGATTTTGTAATCGATTGTTACTCAAATAGAGGCCATTTGCTAAAAAATTTTTTAAATATATATTTTCAGAGCAGTAATTAATCTAAAACTGCACAAAATACAGTTTTAGATTAATGCAAAATTCATAAACATTTTCCATTTAATACTTTTATTTGTAAATGTTTCACCCTAAACTCCTCAAGAGGCATTTTTTGATATTCATTGGGTTCAAATTCATTAAAAAAGGAATTTATTTGCTTATTTCTAATGTTGTACAGAAAAGAACAACTGGTGGTTTTAGCCAAGTGATAAAGTGCAGAGCAGGGAGCAGCTTTCACCTAGAATGCTGAGTGACGTTAAACCTCAGCAGAACGACAGGCTGATTGCCTCCGTGACATGCCACATGGACGCAGTAATTCATGCAAAAAGAGCCATAAACAAGAACAGAGATGTGGACACACATTCCAGAAATCTGACATTACTGATTAAAATATCCTTTTGAATTAATTTTATGTAATATTCAATTCTTCACAGGCAATATTTGGAGTTTTCATTGTCTTTAAGTCAAGGATTAAACAAAACGGATCACATTTTGCACGTTTTTAAACATCTGTTTGGGTTTCTACTGCTTCTAAAAACAGAGAAAGCTCTTTAAAAAAACCCTATCAAGTTGGTTTCTTTTCGTCTTTTTCTTTTTGATGTCTGGATAATGATCCGGATTGTTGTGCACTGCAGCGTCACCTAGCAACTAAAGTAAAGACCAGCTCGTTACCTAGCAAACCAACTTAAGCTCCAGCATGTTTGTTCAGCTGGTTTTACTTCTGTACAATGGCTGCTAGAAAAAACTATTGTTTTGTTGTTTACTTACCAGCCGGAAACCACTATCTTTATTCTTGCTGGTTGTGCAGGAGGCCCCACTTCTGCTTTTCAAAGATGCACCGTTGCATAATTGCACATCCAGTTGCAAACATTTTCACATTTGAGTGTAACTGTTAAACTTGGGGGCATTACCAGCAGCAGCTTATTTGGATTTAAAGTGACAAGAGGCCCAAAATGTGATCAACTAAAAATGTTTTTGGACTAAAAATGTAATGAAGATGTTTTGTGTAGACCAAACACCAATCCTAAGCAGTTAAAGGACAGTTGTGGTTTTCTTTAGACAATATGCTTTGTTGTTGATGTGCAGAATAAAAACTTTTTTGTTGCCAAATTTGATCTATAATTCAGCTTTTCTTTTATTACAATATAAAACTTAGGAAGAGTTTAGCCAGGACTGGAGTGTGTCTTGAGAAGAAACACTTTTTCTTTTTCTATTAGTTAGATAATAACTAATTAGATTTACTTGAGTAACTTTTTCGAAAAAATATCTTTTAGCAGTATTTTTACTACAATGAACTTTGTACTTTTACTTGAGTAGATTCATTATAAAGTATCACTACTCTGACTACAGATCTGAAAGAGCCAATCAGCTTTTAACGTTACAATAAACAAGTTAAGAAGTTTAATATACTTGTGTAAAGAATATAGAAGTAATTTTTCCATGTTTAATTGTATTTAGTTTATGTTATTGAAAATTATTTTAAAAATATATATTTTTATCATGTTATTTCTTTGCTCTCTGAGCTGTGGCATCTTATTTTTCTTCCCTTTTTAAAATCTTTTGATATAAACTAATATAATGCAGGTGTTAAAATTAAGAAATAAAATTAAATGTGAGAAACAAAGAAAAAAAAATACAATAATAAAACATTACATAAAGAAATATGTACATAATGGTGTGGTGTTATTAGAGCAAACTAATTTAATAAATCCACACCAGTCTGAAACTCTGCAATATAAATCAACTTGATTGATTTATCTGCCACAAATCTAAAAATCCCAACAAGATGAAAGAAATTTTTAACTCAGACAAGGTTAAAAATATAGATTTAAGTTTATTGCACAATCGTTGCTGGAGACTGAGGAGTTTGAGAGCCTGTCTGTTACACAGGATGCTAACGCAGGACAGACATGAGGACAGCAGTGTCTATTTAAAGCACACAGACCTAACGAGGCGCCGCGGGATTCATCCTGTCAGCGCCACACCCGGGTATTTATGCAGGTTTCATGCTTGTACGGCTGGACAGTTCATACATGATCATGAAAGGTATAGAGAGCTAAAGAAAAACCTGCTGCACCGCTCCTGGTATGACACAGGTGAATTCATTTCAATTTGGCTGAGGTATGGCTTCAGTGGCGCCAGAGTCAGTGCACAGGAGGCTCCACTAGGGGGAGCCAGAGTGGTGGGGAAACGCAGAGACGCTGCAGATGTGACAGTTATAACAGACAGACCCTCCTGAAAGCTCCCTTCGTCCTAAAACAAAGGGCTGCCCCTCACTGCATGTGCACAGGACTGTGCGAAAGTTTTAGACCGCCTTTCATTTACTGGATGTTGTTTGCAAAATTTTTCAAACTGATTCTAATCAATTTTGGGGCAACAGTGGCGCTCCCATGAAATGTTAATAAAGGTGGCCTGTGAAATTTTTTTTATGTGTATATACACAATTTTTTTTGTTGAATTTAAAGTGGATTAATGTTTTATTGTGACTCTATTCTTGTAATTTTATCATTTTTATTTTTTTAGCATGGTCCTAATAGCCCATCATAATATAAAACAAAAAAATACACATGTATTTATATGTATGTCTTTATGTATGAATCAAATAAGATTGTTATTTTTCATACCTCCATTTGGGGGCGCCACTGTTCTTGATTCATTTAGGTCCTCAAAAATTTTCATTTTTATTTTTGCTGCTTATTTACAATTTTTTTGTTGAATTCAAAGTGGACTCAAAAAAATCTCCTAATGTTGAGTAAAAAGGCAGCTGAAGTCGCCACTTTGCAGCAACATCTAATGAAATAACTTTTGCACAGTTCTGCAGACCAGTGTCAAAGTTAGGATCCACGGAATTACAGATATAATAATTATCAGCTTTTAACAATACAGATAATTCATTATAAACAGGTTGTTAAACAGGCTATCCGGCACCTGTGTTGTTTAAAAAAACGTGTTTTGTTAATCATGTTTTACTTTTTTTCCCCATTTAACATTCAGACAAAATAAACAAACACAAGCCTTCCCACCAAAGGTTTCCCTTCTTCTTGTTACAAAGTTCACGGAGCGAGCAGACTGGACTAACGCTGGCGGGCGGAGCCCCGGTTCGGGTTGCGGCACCCTGATCGGCGCATCCTTCGGCTAATAATGCATAGATTGACCGGTGGAAGTCAGGAGGTATCCACTAGCCCACCAGGGAGGTCATTAATGTCTTTCTTGAGTCTAAAAATGTGGTTACACTTTGAAAGCAGCTCTACATTTAGCATTGAAACAAATTTAAGGATCTTTTTTTCTGTTCTTTACATATATATGGACACAGCTAAGCGAAACGTTTTTGATATCTGAAGCACAGCAGTGAAGCCTCGTCTGCTTCTGGATTAACTCGCTTCCTTCCTGCACTGTTTGCTCGATTAATCTACATGTATTTACATCACCTTTTTTGATCTTAAAATGTGTTTCTTTCCAATCCAGAGCCCTTTGGAGATTAGCGATCAGTGCAGTAACATCCAGGAGAGACTGAATTACGATGATTGGATGATTGGCTAACACTATGAGACATCAGTTTCTGTTTCAGAGCTACGTTCATGCAAAGTTTTAGTTTCATTCAATGGCCAAAATACATTAGTTTCTGCGTTTACATCGCAAACTCTACTTACAGCAGGTAATAACCACTATCAGGCTTGCAGATGTAAAGTCTGGCTGAATTTTTCAGGGCGCAAAGGGAGTGGGTGGCATCAGCTATGAAGTTAGCGTGCGTGACTAATGACTGGGGAAGTCCTTCTCTCACCTCTGAGTCAGAGGCGACAGGGGAAGCAGGCGGTGTGCCGAAGCCGACCCGGAGAGACGGAGAGGCGAGGGACCGAGGCGACGTCTGCCGCCTACAGACAGACTACTGGGGCAAAACGCAGCAGCACGGAAATTTGGGACTAAACGGCTAAATGATTAAACCAAAACCACAGATTAGATTATGACAGAGTATAAAGTATACGCTGAGAAAATAAAGAAATAAAGTTACAAGAAAAAAGTTGTAAAATTATGAGAAAGAAATTTGTAGTGTTGCAAGAATAAAATCTAAATAATTCAAGAATAAAGTCATATTATGAGATTAGTAATTTTACGACTTTATTCTCGCATTATTTCAACCTTATGTAAATGAAATAGTCTTGGCACTAACACCCCGTCGTACTAAACCAGCGCTGCTGCATGTTGTAAGAGATACGAGGGTGAGGACGTTCATTCCTGTTTCGAACAGTTGAGCTGGAAGAATATGCAAATTATAAACACATTAAAACAGAATAAAATTAACGTTTTCAGTTCTAAAAGAAAGCATACGTCATCATAAAACACATGGCTGGAGTGCAGTTATGTTGAAATATAAAGTGTAATTATGTGCCTTTGTAGTGGCAGAAATTACATTAAAACTGAATGTAAGGATACATATATAAATATATAGCACATAATTAGCAACAGTAAATCCATAAATGTACTTTCACATAAATAAAAACAGTAATAAATAAAAAAAATTCTGCACTTTTGGCAAATTATAAACTGCCATCTGTTCATGTAAGCGCTTTTTGTTGCCACTTAAACAACAAAGTAAACGGAGAATGTAAAGTCATTTTAGAACAAAACCCTGAGGTTAAAAAACTGCAAAAATAAAAACGTGTTCACACCTCTTTACAACCACAAACTTCTATGTGTTTTATTTGGGTTTTATGTGAGACACCAACTCAAAGCTATGAAGTGGAGGGAAAAATATGCATTTCATAGAAATCTGAAAGGTGTGGCATGCATTTATATTCAACCCCCTTTACTCAGATACCCCAAACGTTTGCTTTCGTGTCCCATTCGTAAAGAGAGTCCTCCCATTTTTAAGTAATCTGAGGAAACTTCGTAGAAAATTTGTGAATAAATTTTATACATACCTAAAATAATAAGACTGGGCATTTATCATCTAGAAGCAGTAAGGACATGAAGGTGATGAAATACACCTTCATTATAAAGCATGGTGGAGGCAGCATGATGCTTTTCTTCAGGAGGAAGAGAGCAAAGGGGCCTTAATACAAACAGATTTTCATCCTGAATCCTTGTGAAAACGACACGTTTTTCCTGGTTAAAGGCATAAATCCCACTAAAATACATTGAAATCTGTGGTCGGGATGTGATAAAATGTGAAACTAATTTGTAAATCCATGAATAATTCCTGAATTTAAATGGCACCGAGATACGGCACAAAAAAAAATCGATATTGCTGCTGTGTGAATCAGGAATGAACTCCTTACTCGCGTTTTGTCTTCTTTTGGATGGAAACGAGCAGAAAAACAAACAGAGAAACTCCATATTTAGAGAGGGAATCCTGTGGCGACCCATTACGAGCATTTAGCACAAAAACCAAAATTAAACTGTGTGCTGCGATGCTGATGGGTTGAGATGTGGATGTGCTGCATAGGTAGCAACAGTGACATCTGAGAGCAACCGTTGGATATTTCAGATAATCTCTGACCACCTGAGTTCAGCTGGCTAACACGTCTTCAAATTAAACTAAATTGGTGTCAAACATTTGTGCAGCAAAATTTTCGATTGTGGCGCTGTCATTTTAAATTTATTAATGTTTTCAGAGGTCACCGAAGGTCAACCAGCCAGTCCATGTCTACAAAATAAAGCAAATTTGGCATTAAACAAATTTACTTTTTTTAATTTTAGAAATTATAGCAGCACAAATGAACATTTTTGCTGCACAAACGTAACACAGTTTATTAAAACCATATTTTGTTCAATTTAATAAATTTGGACTGGCTAGGTGACCTTTGACTACCCACCAATATCTTAAAAATCATAGCGGCACAAAAAAAATTGGTTTTGTTTTGTGCCGTTGCCATTTTAAAGATATTAGCAAATGTTTCCAGAAGTCAAAGGTCAACCAGTAAATCCATATTTACAAAATCAAACAACGTCTGTGTCAATCAGCTGTAATATAAATATTTTAGCAACACAAACAACTTTTGCTTAAATCTTAGAAATTATAGAAGCACAAAAAATTTGCTGCACATATATCCAAGTTGATTGACACCAAATAACGAAATGTAATGAAATATGTTGTCAATCAACTGTGCTACGTTTGTGTTGCAAAAAGTTTTGTTTGTGCCGCTACTATTTTAATACATATTTCGAGAGAACATCAAAGGTCAAGTTCATATTTACAAAATCAGACAAATTTTAGCTGCACAAGCAACTTTTTTTTAATCTTAGAAATCGTAGCAGCACAAATGGAAAATGTTGCTGCACAAACACAGCACAATTAATTGACACCAAATTTGCTTGATTTTTAAAATCTGGACAGGTTGGTTGACCTTTGATGACCTACAGAATCATTTATTAGTATCTTTGAAGTTTAAAACAAGAGCGGCACAAACAAAATCTTTTGCTGCACAAATGCTTGAAACCAACTTTGACTAGTTTGAAGAAGTCAGGCGGCTGGTAACTTCACTCAGATTCAACTACTTTTTGACTGTGCAAAAGTTTTAAACCATCCCTCGTTTCTTTAAATGTGATTCCAAATAATCAGATTTTCCTTTTCATCTTTTAAAGCACGAGTGTCAAACTCATTTCAACGAATCATGAATGTTTTCAAAGAACAAACTACTAAAATATTAATAAATAACTCTCTCCGCATTCAATATAAACTTTGCAAAGTAATATAATATTTATATCATTTGACATATTTATAATTTGGTAGCTTACAGATAAAAACTGCTGTGATTTAATTGATAAAAATATTTAGGCCACATTAAAAGATATGACGGGCCGGATTTGGCCCCCGGGCCTTGGGTTTGACCCACGTGCTTTAAAGATCAACAGTGATGTGAAAAAGCAGCAAAAATCTGAAGAAAAAGTACTTATCTGTCTGCTTGGAACCACAATTTAGATAAATGAGGAACAAGAAGACTTGTGCACAGTCATGTTGTTCATGTTACTGTTTAAATATTTCTATTTCTCTGTGTCTGAAGTGTTTGTGTGGTTTTGTCCACATTTCTGTGTGTCTTACGTCTTCTCTCTGCCTCCGCAGAAACGTCGAGGATGGATGAAGATATAAACATTCTGAGTTTAACACATGCAGAGACGCTCAGCCCCCTCAGAGGTCCTTTCACTTCCAGTCCCAGAGGACGGGGGGCTGGGGTCAGTCGGAGGGACAGATGTAGCTGTTGATCCACAGCAGGTCGTCCAGGACGCCCCAGTGCAGGTAAAGGATGGAGCCCACCACCAGTACGTGCATGATCTGGTGGCTGTTGCACCAGTAGTCGAAGAGGCCCGGCCGGAAGCGCTCCGGGATGCGTGTGATGTTGATGACCCCGCCCAGCACGGCCAACGCGTCCATCATGAGGAAGTGGCGTAGCGAGGTGGGGCTGCCGCCGCCCACGCCTACGCCGCGAAGCAGGAAGAAGGAGAAGCGGAACACGGCCTGCCAGGCGAAGGAGCGCAGCCGGCGCACGCTGCTGCGGGCCGTGACTGCGCAGTAGATGGCGTGCGTGGACAGCAGGATGTAGACGAGCAGCGACACGGTGCGGATGAAGGGGTAGCACCACAGCGTGATGTAGACGATAGGGAGCGCCCCTGAGGAGGGAAGACCAACAAAGTCACAAAGGAACGAGTTACATTTAACCGAGTAACTTTTTGGAGTATTTTCACTTCACTGTACTTGTAAGTTTAACTTGAGTAAAATTTCTGGACTCTGCCTTCTGAGAGTAACTTCGTTGAATAGGTTAAGATCAGATTACGGTTGAATCAAATCATGTTTATTGCATTTCTTTGCACAAAACCATTCTTAGATACTAAAGCCCAGTTCACACAACACAATTTTAGAAAAGTCGGCCGATTCTGAAAACGTGAGAGGCCACACACTAGTCAATTTAAAATGTAACGGGTTCGATTGTAGAGTGTGAGGTTTCACTCTAAGACATTTTAATTCCAGATACGAAATCCCTTAAAATTAAAATTCTACACCTGAATTTAGAGTAAACAAACATGGACAACAACGTTGAAGTGGTAACTTTAGTTTGCGGACTTATGTTAACCCAAATCGACGTAACCAAAAATCAAAGCTTTGGATTAAGAACTGGAGGCATCGTGAGCAAAGATTATATTTGTTGCGTCGCAGCATGGAGGTGAGTTTTTTTTCTTTTTTTCAGAAAAAATACTGTTTTCAATGTTTTCGGTTTTGTCATTTAATTAACCGTTACCGTTTACGCATAATTTTTCGCTGTGTTTATGTTGTTGTAGAATATATGCACATATACTGTACCTTGTTTCAGAAAACGGAATGACTGAAACATCAGAGCAGCTTAAAGTAGAAGAAAGCATTTGTGTTTGTGGGGCTAGAATTGCTGTGACACACAGCCCCAGCCATACAGTCACCTACAAAATAAGTAATAAATAATTCTTATCTTCACTTTTATCATTACAACAGTACCACAAAATATTGTGAAACTGTAAGCTCAGTTCATTTACCACTTAAAAACTAAGATCCATTTATCCTAAGTCTTACAATTTAATTAGAAAAAAATGCAGTTAAATACTTTTGTTTTACGGTCATTGAGTTCAAACCTGGTCCACATTTTATACATCTGTGCTCAGCAATTTTAAACAATAAAGCTGTTGGAAATAAATAATTAATACATTGGAATCGGTACATGTAAAGCAGAGGAATCGATTCCCATTTTCCGGCGTGTACACTCGCTTAAAAACTACATTAATTATAAAGCTCCATTCAGTTTTATCACAACATGATAATACAGAGATCACTAATCATCTAAGGCTGTAGAAGCCATCTAATAATGGCTTCTACAGCACCGCCGAATGCAGTGAAATCAATACAGCTACACCTCCAGGCAAACAGCAGCATGGTAAGGCATCAGGAGTCAATAAAGCAACATTAAACCCTGAAAGCAAACACAGCAGCAATAAAAGAAAGGCAGCTGACGAAACGACTGGGTGGGGCTCACCCAGCGTGTTGATCATGCAGATTCCACAGACGTCCAGCTTCAGCAGGGTGTGGTAGACGGGCTCTCCGCCCTCGTGGTTCATGAACAGGTGGTAGACCACGGAGCCCAGCTGGGGCGACAGGCAGGCCAGGAAGTGCACCACGCCCAGCCAGGTGACGCTGATCTGAGACCAGGGGATGTTGAGCGGGAGCAGCACCAGGAAGCAAACCAGAGGGATGCCTGGAAATAAAGAAATGCGTGATTAATCGATTTTTAAAAAAATAATCGTCAACTAATTCAGTACTCGATTAATCGCTGACTGATGTTAAAAAATGCTATTTGCTGGAAGAACATCACAAGTTGTACAAAAATGACACAAGTTTGCAAATAAGATTAAAAAAAAGATGTTTTGTAAAAGAAAATCTTTGATGAAGCGCCGTTAGCAATGAGCTAATACAAACAATTAATCAATTAATGTACAAATAACCAGGAATGCTGTGGCAATAAAATATTTCATAATTAAAATAAGGAAATGCATAAATTATTTGTTTATTTGCAAATTTTAATGTACTTCTAATATTATATTAAAAAGTTTTAGACGGTTAAAAAAATCTGAGCCAATTTTTTTATTCGATTAATCGTCTGAATAATTGATAACTAAAATAATCTTTAGTTGCAACATCAACAAACATACCAGGAAGGAGGGCTACGACTATTATTTAGTAATTGATTAATCTGCTGATTATTCTGACGATTTATTGATTAATCAGTTAAAAAATGTTTTTAACAATATTGGATATTCATTAAAAGATGAAAGTAAACAAATAATTCAGTTTCTCCTTTAATTAAGTAAATAAACATTTCATAACATAGCATTCCTAGTAAATCTGAAATGGTGAAGCTAAAACTGTGTACATTTTGAATAAACATTTACAGACAAAGATATTTTAATCTTACATGTAAAAACTAAAATTAATTTTGCACATTTTTGCTTTGAATATGTTTCTTTCAGGAAATATCTTTTTTATTAGTCTGAATACTTCAGTTAACAATTAATCTGCTTCTAAATTAGTTGTTTATTATTTCAACAAAAGATTAATCCAATTAATTGTTTCAACCATACTTAAAGAAAAACCTTCTCAAAAACAAAATCCTGCTATGTGTTTTACGAATGAGGTGAAATGTGGTGGAGGGCTGGCACCAGAAGAATCCATTTTAAAATAAATAAATAAATAACACAGCAGCTCTGACAAAACCAAATTAAGGTGTCATGTTTGCTGTGATGGATTATCTGGCTCAGGACTTTGGGATGCTGTTTCTGGAAGCAAACAGGAACGAGTCGGGATCTGCTGAGCGAGTGCACACAGCAGCAAGAAGAGCCGTGGAGGGAAACGTACTTATCAGTGCTCCCTCCTGAGGGAAAAACAATGAGAGCTCATTCTAACGCAGCCAAAGGCGATTCTGCTACTTACACAGGTTGGCAGAAAAAGACTCTGATCATGGACTGAAACACAGATAAATGTCACAACTGCAACTGGATTCTCAGAGGACATTTAAGCAAATTCTGACATATTTTTGGTTGAATTTGAAATGAAAACTTTGTGAGAAAACAAATGTACAACCTACACTGAGAAGTATTGATAAATATGACAATTATAATCTGCTATTTATTTTATTGAGATTTGTTGTGATAAGTCAACAAAAAGTGTTATTTTTTATGTCATGTCTCAAAAGCAATAAAATTGGATGGAAAGTGTCTTTCAACAATAATTTTAAAATCTTAAAATTGATAATCCACGGCATTTATGTCTAGACTTTGACTAGGCTATTGTCCTTGAACCAACCCCTCCAATTGTAGCTTTAGCTGCATGCTTAAGATCAAGAATGGAGTATTTTTTCAGTCTCTAAAAGGTTTTATCTCAGTTTCCTCACAGCATGATGCTGCCACTATCATCTTTCACCATTCCACAGACTGACTGACGTTTACTGGTGGGAACACTTCTGTTAATCCACTAATGAACTAAAAGCAGAGCTAATTTTTCTGCATTTTTTGCAAGCTTTGAAACCATTTAGCACACTTCGCTTCCATAGCATTAAATTACTTTGTAAACTTTCAGTTGAAACAAAGTTTGACATTTGTGTTGATGTTGTGGTTGTCGACTGATAAGAATTCTTCAAGTTTATATTCATGCTCTTATTTTGAAGTCTGTTTACACAGCAATACCATTTCCTGTACAGAAGTTGTTTTTTTAAGAAATAAGAAACGTAACTGAGCAAGTGTAGAAGAAATGAACAGATAAAGTTAGATTTTTTTATAAGGAAATATAACCTACTATGTACCACTGACACTTGGTGGGTATAAATTAGCACTTCAGCATTAGCTTCCACTAACTTTTTATGGTGACATTGCACTTTAGCCTTAGCAAAACTTATAATTAGTGCTTTAGAGTTACCGCCACTGCTGACATTAAATTACTCACAGATGGACTCTATTAACATCTAATGAACATTTAACAGTGGAACTGGAAGACATTTTCAATATCCAAAGCAAATTAAAAAAAACAACAGAAACAAATAAAATGAACTATTAAGTCTTTGTAAATAAAATTTTCCTTCAGAAAATTGCTAGACAAAAGAACCAGATTAAAGATTTCTGTCGTCCAGTTTTTTATTGCGTATTGTGCACGCCCAAAATCTCTGAGAAATCCACCGAAGCTTGTGGCTGTCATGTGACTAAATGTAAATAAAGTAGTTTGAATAGCTTTGCAAGGCAGACTCTCATCTGCTTCTTTGCGTTTGTGCTCACTCTGCCCTTTTCAAAGTCGAAGCATTCGTCCTGAGCAGGTGATACAGTGAACGCCGGCCACTGTAACATCTATTTTAGGTGTGTTATCTCCTCCCCTCCCCCTCCACTTTGCCGGAGCAACTGAACTCAGGCGTGGACGGCGCAGGGAGGACCTCCTCTGAACGCCTGCAGCATAAAACGTGTCTGCGATCCGAGTCGAGGGCAGGAGGTTTCCAGTTCACATGCAAAGCAGCTAGTTAGAAACCTCCAGGCCGGGAATGTTCTGTGATTACTGCGGATGAGGCGTCTCTTTATGATACAGCCGCCGTTTAATCTGTGACGCCGGAACGCCACGAACTGATGACCTTCAGAGTCAGGAAGCTGGTTCAGTTTAAGCCGGCGAACGCGGAGATGATGAGCTGACGGGAAAACGACAAGAGACGCTGCTTCAGAGCTGCGTTATTGGCTCCTTATGGCGCGACACTGAGAACTATAAGCAGATGGACAAAAAGATGAGACACGGCTGTAGAGATTAACACATTACTGAAATTAAACTAAAAAAAGAAGAGCATATTGTGTAACTGTGACATTTACACTGCAAAAACTAAATCTCACCAAGTATTTTGGCTCCAGTTTCTAGTGCAAATATCTTAATACGTTTGGAATAAGAGAACCAATGGAACAAGAGTTTTTTATCAATATTGCAAAATTACTAAATACTTTAAACAAGTTCTTATTTCTTGCTGAAAAGTTACATTTAGGTTAGTTTTGTCTTATTTCAATTGTACTAAGATATTTGCACAGACAAAATACACTTGGTAAGATTTTTTGTTTTTGCAGTGTTATAAAAATCCACTCCAGGTAATTTTCACAAACTGTTTCATTTCAACAGCAAGTTAAACTTTTTTATAACAATTTTTTTAAATGGTAAAAATGTGTATGTTCCTCTTATAAAAGTCAGAAAATAAATCTGCATGTTCCCTCATGAAGATTATACTGCAACAAGATGTTTTTACTAAACTGCAACTAAATATTATGGTAAATAATATTACAGGAGAACTGTGTCGTATGTCTGCAGGACTAATTTAAAAAAATAGTAAAAATTATTTATGTTCTCTGGTATAAAGCAGCTTGGAGTCTTTTTTGATGTAGTTAAACACTTAAAATGTAATTAAATCACATAAAATGTTTCATAACATGTCAAAACTGCCAGAATTAGAAACACCCTATACACATGTTGAGCCATTGATTTAGTTTTATATCGATTTTTAAGTTCAAAGGCTTTAGTATCTGTTAGGTTAAGGCTGCAACAATCTAATAATCAAATAATCCTTAGTACTATAAGCTTTATCTACTTTACAATTAAAATAATGTGTAAAAGTAAAATCCCTGCAGTGAAAAATGTACTAAAATGTCATCAATTCACTGCATGAAATAGTTTTAGTTTGTCACTTTGAAGCAAATCTAAGCCACTAATGCATGAATGCATGATGGTGTCTTCATAATGATATTAAATATTCATGGCGCCGGTCTGGAACAAAGTGGGGAAGTTTTGCAACATGTCACTGTACGTTGACTTCATTTGCATATTTGCTCTGCTGCCCTAGTAAAAACAAAAACACAACAGCAGGAGACAGAGCTAAATCATACGGAAGACAATTAGGGCCACAAATAAAAAAAGAATTCCCATAATTTTCTGGAAGGAAAGATGGTAATTTAAAGTTGGGAGATTAAAGTGATTAAATTCTGAGATTTTAAGCTCTGAATTCTGAAATTTCTTCTCTGAATTTTTATGTGTTTCTCAGAATTTAGACTTTCATCTCAAAATTTTGCTTTTTTTCCTTCAGAATTCTGAAGTGTCAGAATTTGATACCAGAAATCATACTTTTTTTAAAAAAAATCTTAACATAAGACTGTATTCTTACAATTTGTACCATTTTTCTCAGAATTTGGACTTTGACCTCAGAATTCTGACATTTTTTCTCAGAAGTCAAACTTTTTTTGTTCTCAGAATTCAGACCTTTTCTTTCCCGGCGGAATTCTGACTTTAATTTAATAAGACATATTTCTTAGATTTCATATATTTTAATGTCAGAAATTCACTTCAGTCTCAGAATTCAAACCCATTTTTTAGAATTCAGGGCATAATGTCAGAAATCTGACTGTGATCTGAGAATTTTGATTTTATTCTTAAAATTCAGAACTTTCTCTCAGAGTTCTTTTTTCTCTCAAGATTTGGGTCAGAATTTGCACTTTAATCCCAGAATTCTGACTTTTTTCAGAATTAAGACCAATTTTTTCAGAATTTAGTTTTCTTCCTTAAAATTCAGATATTGTCAGAAATTAACTTCAATCTCAGAATTAAAACGTTCCCCCCAGAATTCTGAAATCAAAGTTAGGATTTGAACTTCAACCTTAGAATTATGACTTTTTTGTAATAATTCTGGCCAATTTTCTCAGAATTCAGACATTACCTTCAGAATTTGATGTCGACCTCAGAATTCAAACCCATTTCTTAGAATTCACTTAAATCTCAGAATTTAGACTTTATTCTTAAAATTCAGACTTGTGTTCAGAGAAAATAAGTCTAAATACTTTTTCTTTACATTACTTCAACCCTCTTCCACAAAATCAGCAGGGTTCTTCCATAATAGTATGTAATTATTGTGAGTTAAATGCTCCACTGAGACTTTTTCCTGGATCTCTGTCCATTTCCAACCAGAGGAGGGTTTATCCTCAACCTCACCTGTACTAAAGCACATCATGCGGGTTAATTTTGTATTTTTTAACTCACCGTGAGTGTAAATGTTCCCAAGTTCATTGTGGAGGTAAAACAGGCTCCTGACGCAGTCCTGCACGGAGGAGATGGGCCGGTATCCAGTCAGTACGTATTTATTGAACTGGAGATGTGGCGGGGAGCTGGCCCAGTCCAGCAGCCTCGGTCCGTTTAAAAAAGCCATGGCGAACAGACCCGTCAAAAGGACGCCGCCGAACAGATAAAACACAGACTGGACGCCTATGTACACGTTCAGCAGGATTATTGCGACCAAAACCTTATGAGATATCATTGGTGTCTGTTTTTGCGTGTGTGAGAGAGAGAGCTCACGTCAAGTCTCTACGCGCTACCCGGCAACGCCGTGTCCGTCTCGGCGCTGTTTGTTCTGAACCCCCGCTGTCCGTGCGAGTGTCATCCGCAGGGATGGAGGCGGACACGGCCAGCCATTCGCATGATGGTGTAAGCTCCGGACGGTCATTACATTATTCGGCATTGACGAAATGTGTGCGCGGCGCCTCGAAGCGCAGAGGACGGGACGTTTCCGGACATCTTAAAGCCGCTTCTCGGGGATTTGCTCAACGCTCCGGTGCGGCAGGGCGGGCTGGAAGGATTCTCGGGCGGTGATGCTGCGAGAGCCGCAGGTCCATCCGACTCCAGAGGATGCTACTAGCTTGACTCCAGCGGTCAGACGTATTCACGTTAGAGCTCTAGGTCAAACGATGGGAATTAACTCGGTCGGCTGTGTTTCTCTGCGCTTTTAAAAAGCAGAGAAGCTCCGTGATTTTCCGGCGGAGATTTTGAAGGACTAAGGGCTAGCAAGCCGGGCAGGCGGCTACCAACGTCCGGTGTCAGGGGGTGAGGTAGCTGGTGTCTGAGCCGGCCTTTCCCGCACTCTCAAAGCTCGGTGAATCATTTTAAATTTCACCATATTATTTCTGATCCAGTTGCCTCCCAGCTTTGATTCCGGCGGACGGCATTCCTTAAAAAGCGGCTCCTTTCTGTCGGCCTCAGATCCGCTGCATCGCCTCTACAGTCAAGCTAGCTAACCGGGAGCAGCACTTCCGGCTGTTTCTTTTCAAAATAAAGCACTCGCTGTAGAACATGCCAGAAAGTAACATTTAGTGCCGCTCAATTCTTTCATGGCACCTCCAGTCTCTATGCAGCAGGAATCCGGAAAGCATGAAAATAAAGATCTGACAGGACGTGGAGAGTCACTAGTTACTTGAGTAACCTTTTGAAAAAAATTACTTCCAGGAGTATTTTTACTGCACTGTACTTTTTAATTTGACTTGAATTGCTACTTTTTCTGGGTACCTTCACTGAATGAAGAACGAAATGGTTTTAACCAAAAATTCACCAGACACACATGCAGTTTTTTGAAATAAATTGATTTGGGAAAAATGCTTCTTTTGCATGATTCTGGTACTTTGTAATTAAATAGATATTTTATTTTGGTTTGTCTCATTATGTAATTTATAAATGTTACATTATTGGTAATTTGATCAGTTACCAAATAATTACCAAATACTTTTTATTCTTACTTGAGTAGTTGGATGGCTAACAACAACAATTTCCATTTTAAAAAGTATTTTCACACACATGCACATATCAGATAACCCAGTACTACATTAACAAGGTGCAGTCCATGCACTTTGTTTAATGGACTAATTGATCAAAAAAATGTACAAAATCGATTTGTATGATCATTGCTGTTCCAAAAATTTCTAAGTACTGTTCTAAAGATACATAGAAGTCAGAAAAAAACACAAAATAAAGGAAATATTTTCTTAAAGCCAGAAAATAAATTGTAATAAAGTGATTTAAAAGTCTGTATGAATTTATTAATGATATGAGGTTATTTTTAAACCAAAGCCATTACAGCTGGAAATTATTTTACAAATTACTGATCAGGCCCAAAGTCTCTGTATAGACTCAGATTGAACATCCAGAGACACATAAAGACAGTTACAAAGTTGGCCTTCTATCACCTGAAGAACATTTTGAGAATTAAAGGACTAATGCCCCAGCAAGATATTGAGAAACTCATGCATGAGTTTATCTTTAGTCTCATTTATTACTCATTATTTTCACAGGTCACATTCTGACTCAAAACAGGACGATAGAGCACATCACCCCAGTACTAAAGTCTGTTCTAAAGTCATTACTCTGGCTCTCTATAGCTCAGAGAAATGACTTGACTGTTAGTTTATAAATCACATCTGCTGTTGTATCACCCTTCCAGATCACTCAAGTCTTCTGGTTCTGGTCCACTCTGCATACCCTGAACCAGAACCAAACATTTAGTTTCTATGCACCACAAATCTGGAACAAATGTCCAGAAAACTGAAAAAAAAAAAAAAAAAAAAAAAAAACCCACCTGTTTAGAGCTGCTTTTGATTAATAATAACTGCAACATGTTTGTTATTTAGAATCCAACTTTTCTTTCTTTTATTTTACCACGACAATCTACTTTTTAATGTTTTCATAATGTAAAGTACTTTGAATCGTCTTATTGCTTTTCTGTACAATTTTAACCCTGTTATAGCAACAATAATAACAATCCATGAACTCATTTTGAACACTTTCTAAAACAAAAAATTGTTCCCAAAACACAGGGCATTTTTTAAATAAAGGTTTTAATAATAATGTATTGAACTTCAGTTTGTGAGTGAAGTCCAGAAGCAGCAGGTTGTGGCCTGTAATTCTCTGAAAAAAAGACATTGTTGAAGATTTGGATGAATCAGACCCCGCTCCCACTCTCCCCTCCGTCTGTTTCCAGAACCAGATGACTAGTGATTCTGATCAACAGAAAAAAAACAGATCTCTAACTGGACAAAGCAAACGTTGCATGTGAATCAGCTCTGGTTGTTTCTACTCTGACTTGAGTTGCAGTAGAAACTGATTAATTTCAAATGAAGAAAACAATGAATAGATTTAAAGTATTATTTTAATTTGACCTCCATGTATCTTCTGACTGGAGTGTCGTCATTTAGAAACTTGAGTCAGAGTGAGAATATGTGAAAGTTTAGGGGGATGGTAAAGAGGTCATCCAACCGACCAACGATAAATTTGAAAAAACCCAGCAGAAATGTAAAAAATAAAGAATTAAATTTATGTTGCAAAAAGTCTTTAGCATTGTCAAATATCCTGCAACTATCAAATACAAATTCATTCATTTAGGGTATTGCATATCTGTTTGCATGAACATTTGCTGGTGAATATTAAGAATTACTGAGCAATTAACAAGCTTTAAAGTTTTTCACACAGCATGACCAGAAGTGCTGCAGCCACTGTGCCCCAGTTTTTCATGTGGTTTAACGCAATGCAGATAAATGTCTTTCAGTATCACTCTTTTGTTACCAAAACCCACAAAACAAGAAACAGGTGTGAAAAATAATTATTTGAATTAACATGCATGAACAGATGCAAGGACCAAGAGAAAGATTAACCTCTTTTTTTAGGCTCTATTGGTCTTCATTAGACACAGACAGACAGGAAAGTGGGAGATGAGAGAGAGAAGACATTCAGCAAAAGGTCTGCAGATCGGGATTAAAACCAAGATGGCCGAGTCAAAGACTGAGGCCTCCGTATCTGGGTCACACATTATCCCCAGAACTACTGCAGTGCTGCAGAGTGATGGATGGATGAACTAATGGATGAACTAATGGATGGATGGATGAACTAATGGATGGATGGATGAACTAATGAATGGATGGATGAACTAATGGATGGATGGATGAACTAATGAATGGATGGATGAACTAATGGATGGATGGATGAACTAATGGATGGATGGATGAACTAATGGAGGATAGATGAAGTAATGATGGATGGATGAACTAATGAATGGATAGATGAACTAATGAATGGATGGATTAACTAATGGAGGATAGATGAACTAATGGATGGATGGATGAACTAATGGATGGATGGATGAACTAATGGAGGATAGATGAACTAATGGATGGATGAACTAATGAATGGATAGATGAACTAATGAATGGATGGATTAACTAATGGAGGATAGATGAACTAATGGATGGATGAACTAATGAATGGATGGATTAACTAATGGAGGATAGATGAACTAATGATGGATGAACTAATGGAGGATAGATGAACTAATGGATGGATGGATGAACTAATGAATGGATGACAGATGGACTCAATTATGGATGAATTAATGAACTAATGAATGAATGGACAGATTAAATAATGAATGGATGGATGAACTAATGAATCAATGTATTTATTGATGAATGTGAATCTTTCATATAAAATGCAACATTAAAAGCGTTGGGTTGGAGTAAATTTACTGTTACTGTAAATCTAAATATTTAATACCTGTTATAAATTATTGGTAATCATTTAAAACCCAAAAGCCTCCAGTTGTCCCGATCGGCAGCTCTTTAAAAAAAACATCATGGGAATTGATCACATGCATCTCTGCATGCTCTAGATTGTGTCTCTGCTATTATTTTGCTGTTAAACCCTTTTAGCAATAGTTTGTGTGTCTCAAATAAATACTTTATTTTTTGCAAATTACTCATATAGTTATAAAAGCCAACATCCTGTACTTCATTTGACACTGCAGAACTGTTTGCATGATCATTTTCCAGTGAATATTGAGAGTTTTTGACCGATTAACAAGCTTCTTGGTATTTCACATGATGTGACTGAGGAGGGTGGTGTACGTGTTAATCCCCCCGTTTTCCATGTGGTTTAACACAATGCAAATAAATGTTTCAGTGTTTCCTTTTTATCAACTCAGGTCATAGACCAAAAACCAGGTGAGAAACGACTTGTTGAAGGGGGCTGTAGTGCATCCGCTGCCTCCATGCAACATTTTAACAACGCAGCTCTGCTTGTGACGCTCAGTGCTGATGTGATGTGCGCAGCGCAAAGGTAAGTCCGTACTTTCTCTATGAACATACTACTTTTAAAAACATTTCATTTTTAACTAACAATAATTAAAAGCTGCAATAGTGATAAATGCTAAATTTATCACTATTTAATTTATTTAATAGTAATAAATTAAATATTTAAAATAAAACACATTGGCATTTTTCAAGAACTTCGTTGTAAACAAAACAAGGCACCGGAGAGAGACTAAGTAATAATCAGCATTATATTTAAACACATTCTATTTAATGTGTTTAAATAGAAGCTAAATAGTTTAAATAGAAGTTTTGTTTACTATAAACCCTCCATTTCTATTGCCTCTATATTAAAACATGTTTTTACGTTCTATCTGCCTGACAGTGACTGAAAGTGAAACAGCAACTTAAATCAAAGATGAGCTCTCTGACGGGTCTTAGTTGTGGTTGTATGTCGTCTGCCAGTCAAGGATTCTGGTTAGACACAATTTAAAAACCGTCTCTGTCGCCTCAAAATGGTTTGCTGTAAGAAATAAACAACAAAAATCAAGGCTAAATATTTAGTTTGTTCACCAAGTCCAACAGTTTGACATTTTGCTTAGTGCAGAATGACAGAAGCCATTGTTTCAGAATGAATGCAATGCCCAACTAGACTCAATCAGGCTAAAGATCACAGTACATGTGAAAAACTTGTACATGTAGATCTGAATTTAAGCCACAATTAAAGGTTTGTTATAAATTAACTTACTTTAATAATGCCAGAATCAGTGGTGGAGAAAGCAAACACTGTACTTACTTATTTACTTACTAAAATACAAAAAAAAAAAAAACAAAAATGCACTCAAGTCAAAGCAAAAGTCAATATTTTTACTTGCATTTAAAAATACTTGAAGTATTAAAAGTAAAAGTACTTTCTGAATGGTTTCTCTAATAAAATGCTTATAAAGTGTGTCTGCTGTATGTATATTTCTAAATATTAGTACATTTTAAGAAACAATAATGTAGATAATGCATATTTTATTGTGCGATTACCTGCAGAGTTAAAAGGCAATAAGCAGGAACAATTAAACATTTAAAGTTATTTTTAACACAAAACAAAGCCAATGTATTATTTAACCATCAGTAAATAATACATTACTGATGTACATGTTTTTCAACCAAACCTGAAAAAACATTTTCAGGTTTAGTTGTAAAATTAGAAAATAAAATTTAAAAAATAAAGTCAAAAAATGACAAGAATAAAGTTAAAATACTAAAATAAAATTGTAGTTTCACAAGAATAGTGGTAATTTTATTCTGGTAATATTTTGACTTTATTCTAATAATATCATGGTTTTATTCTCACGTAACTTTAGTCTTGTGATAACTTATGACTTCACAATACTAAAAAAAGTTTCTTAGTATGGCTGTAATACTCCACCATAGCAAATCTCTCTCATGACAGAGAGATTTTTAAAAGAAAGGCACCAAAAACCAACCAATTGATAACAATCCAGCTTTCTATTGCTTTTGATGGCTTTGTAAGCTAAATTGTCAAATAAAAATGTCTTTTTTTAACAGAAACATGTTGCTGTTGCATGTGTGCATCAGTGCCGGCGTTCTGCTGAGCCTCCCTCAGCGTACCGCAGGTATTTGCACCGACGGGACACCCAAAGAGTGTCAGGAAGCAGACTTCGCCCCGGGATCCAATCTGGCAGGCGAAGGCTTTGATATAACCACCATGGAGCGCAAAGGAGCCTTCGTGCTCAACATGGACGCATGGCGACGCAAGAACAGAAAATGCACCCTGTGCGTCAACCCCTTCATGGAGAACAAGAAGCAGAAGCTGCCTCTGTCCGTGCTGGACTGGAGGGCCAAGCAGTCCTGCAACTCCAAGGTGTCGTCCAAGCTGCACAAATCCAGCGAGTCTCTGGTCAGCTCCATTTCTTCTTCCGTTGAGAACAACTGGAAAGTAGGCTTAGATTTTCAAACTATAAAAACGGGTGCGTCGTTGATGTTGGCTGGAACCAACTCGAAAGTAGCCGATTACTCCATGGAGAAAACAAAGAATGACAAGTTCAGCTTCTCAAGCCTCGGCATGTCCTGCGAGTACTATAGGTAAGAAAACAAGAACAAAAACTTCATAATCAATTACTGAATTAATCGTCAATTGATTTAGTATTTGATTAATCGTTAAAGGTGCAGTATGTAACATTTGTTAAAACTGTCACCATGTTGTCATCCTATAATACGAGACAGATAATCTATCAAAAGATCAATATACTCCGCCATCTGAATAAACACAAAACTCCTGACCAAAAACAACCAATCAGAGCCAGAGGACTTGGATATACAGCATAGTGTGAGGATTACCTGCCTCAGCCTACACTCTTATTACAATGTGACAATTTCAACACATATGTCAAAAAAAATGTATGAAAGTCACATTCACCTGGAGTAATGGTCGTCCACTAATTTAGTAATCAATTAATTGCTAACTGAAGTACATAGACTTAAAAAAAGACCATTTGCTGAAGCAGTAATTTAGGCAAAACTGTACAAAAAATACTTAAACTTTGCATTTGAGATAGAAAAAACACTGCCTTTGCCTATAAATATGTTCTACCCAAAACTGCTCAAGTTGCATTTTTAGCCTCACCTGGTTCAAATGATGTAAAAAACTAAAAGAAAAACCTTCTTTTTAGAGCTACATTTTGCTATTCAATTACTAATTGTTCAATCCAAAAATAGCCAAGAGATGAACTTTTAGCATTGTCTGAAAAAGATTTAAATGACAAAATAACAGGTGTATTTTTAAAATTTGATTAATCAAATACTTGTCAGAATAATTGATAAACTACTCAATAACTAAAATAATCATTTGTTGCGGCCCAAATATTTTGTTTGCAAACATTTGTTTCACTGTTTATTTTTGTTCCTGCCTCGTTGAAACCAGCTACCGAGTGTCGGACTCGCCCAGGCTGCACAGGGAATTCAGCAAAGCGGTGCAACAACTTCCTCCGGTGTACAGCTCCGAAAGCAAGACGCAGTTTTACAAACTCATTGACACCTTCGGCACCCATTACATCAGCAAGGTGACACAAACCAATGCATCAGACTTTAACACCACCGCGCTGTTTTTAGGCCAAATTGTTAAATATGTCTGTAAAATGTGTCTTTACAGGTGAAGTTGGGCGGAGATGTTCAGTCTGTCACCAGCATTCGCCAATGTCAGGCCAGCCTGCAGAGCCTGAATGCAGAGGAGGTGCAGATGTGCCTGGAGGTGGAGGCGTCTGCAAGCTTCAGGGTCACGGTAAAAACCGAATCAAAACACTGCAAGAAGGACATAGAGAAGTCAGAGAGCAAGATGGCGTTCTCAAACCTCTTCAGCGACAGGTACAGAGAATTCATTCACTTTTCTAAACTTTTCTAAACTAATGAAGAGGCGTGTTCTTACATTTCTGCCGATTGGAGTCTGATGCGTTTCTTTTCCAATGCAAAACAAAACGTTACACTTCCTTGATCAAATATATCAGTACACTTCAAATAAGACAAAACTAACTTACAAGTAACTTTTCAGTAAAATATAGCTATTTTAGATAAATTATTTTTTAATATTGATTTTAAAAAAAACACTAATTCAACTAGAAGATTATTTTATTTATGGCATTAAAAAAACTATAAGTGAAAAAATCTGGTATTTTCTAATATTTTCTGCCAATATTCAGTAATTCTTGACTTTAAACATCTTGCTGAAAAATTACTTGTAAGTTAGGTTTGTCTTATTTGAAATGTACTAAGATGTTTGCACTAGAAACGTGACTGAAATTTTTGGTACAATTTGTGTTTTTGCTTTGTTTTGATACCAATATTATTGAGATATTGTAATTGCTGAGAAAAACTAAATTACTTTTGGCTCTGTTATTTTAAACACAATTCCAAGTTCCTGTACATATTTTAGTCCTGTGGCAAAAACCACATTTCATGACAATCTAGAGATCAATTTGACCTATTTTTACGTCTATTTTAGCTTTTAGCTAACTTTTTATCAAAGGATAAGCATTATGCAAGTTATTTAGAGCGTTTATTTAAGTGCAATGTTACTTACACAAAGGTTATGTTGTGCAATGTTTCATTGCTACAAAACAGATTATATTGTATAATCTTGTATTTCTCAACAGGTTTACAGAAATCAAAGGGGGCCATACAACAGAGCCAGACCTCCTCTTCTCCTCTGATAAAGACCCATCAGCCTACAAGGAATGGCTCAAGTCGATTCCACAAAGCCCTGATATAATCTCGTATTCTTTGGGCGCTCTCCATCAACTCCTGCCTCCTACATCACCAACATGGTCCAACCTGCGCTCAGCCATCTCCCATTACATCCTGGAGAAAGGTCTGGCAGTCAACTGCACCGAGCGTTGTAGAAAAGATTCGAGGGATCAGTGCGTCTGCCAGTGTCAAAACGATCCAGCGGTGAACCAGGACTGCTGCCCGACGAAGAAAGGCATGGCCCGGGTGATTGTCACCGCACAGAGGGCTACGGGTCTGTGGGGAGACTCCTTCACATCCACAGACGGCTTTGTGAAAGTCATTTACGGTAATAAAGAACACCGTTCACAAGTCATCACCAATAACAACAACCCAAACTGGAATATGGTGGTAAATCTGGGTCCGCAAGATCTGTCTGTAGCAAACAAAGTGAGATTTGAAGTCTGGGACGAGGATCACGGTTGGGACGACGACCTCTTGGGATCCTGCGAGCAGCTTCTGCAAAAAGGCATCAAGGAGGACATCTGCCCGATGAACCACGGCAGGCTGTACTTCAAACTGGAAGTGACATGTGCTCCGAGTCTGACCGGCGATTCATGCAGAGAGTATCAACCAACACCGATGAATCAGAGCCTGAAGAAGCTTTACGTGTCACGTCACGCCCATCCTATTCCCAAAGCCATGCTGCTGGAGATGGGGGTGTTTCTGAACGAATCTGTGTCCACAAAGTTAACTTTTAGGAAAAACCAGAGTCTTACTGCTAAAAGCCAAACATATTATCTTAAATAAGGCAAAAACACAAACTTATACCAACTACTTGTGGGCAAGTTTCTAGTGCAAATATCTTCATACACTGGAAATAAGAAAACAATAACTTACAAGTAACTTTTCTCCAACATATTGGAGCTTGTTTTAAGTCAAGTTTTCCTGAAATGTGACCCATTATTAGAACAGGTGGAGCTATACTCGGGTTGTTAGGTAACAGGTGGAGCTCCACTCGGGTTGTTAGGTAACAGGTGGAGCTCCACTCGGGTTGTTAGGTAACAGGTGGAGCTCCACTCGGGTTGTTAGGTAACAGGTGGAGCTCCACTCGGGTTGCTAGGTAACAGGTGGAGCTCCACTCGGGTTGTTAGGTAACAGGCCTGGGTTTCTGATTTGTGACGTTAATTTCCAGAGATGTTTGAAAGGCTTTTTTTCCAAACACAAAAAAAAAAACATTTACTCATTGTGAAAAACTGGACAGATTTTTCAAGTAGCATCAAAGAACCAAATGAAAGTACAAAAAAGTACATCATGCAAATTTTAGCATATGTCCCGTTTAATATCGATGGAAAAAGTACTGGATACATCAGCAGATTGTTTCACTTATAACAAGACATTTTTTCCATGTTACGTGAAATGGTCTGCCAGTGGAAATAGAACCATTTCATCAATGTTAAGGGATTATTGACTTAAACAAGCTCCTATATCTTAGTTGTAAGTTAGTTTTGTCTTATTTCAAGTTTGCTGAGATGGTTGTACTAGACAAAAATACTTGCTACAATTGTCTTTTTGCAATGAGATTTTAAAAAGTTGCTGGCTCGCTATTGCTGAGATTGTTTTATTATCTGCACCCTTTGCTTTATATGACAATGCTTTTAGAAAAAAAGCTAAGAACTATTGTTTCTTTCTAAAAAAATAATTTAAAAATAAATAATTATACGGCCCCTGATGTAGAGGCAATCAGACAGAAAGATAAACACACTTTGCTTGCTTGTAGGTGTAATGAAAACATATATCGTACAAATGTTTCACCATCTGTTAAACTCAGATTTTTGTAATTTTGGTCCATTCATGAATTATTTTTGTGATTTTGTCATGTTTTGTTTCAGATATATTTTGTTCACTCATTTGTTCATTATTTAAAGTAGTCATCATGCACGGCCTAACATCTCCTTTTGAAAACAGGTGAGGCCATTACTTATTTCCATACACCATATGATTAAAGAACTATAAACATTTTTGCATAATTGACTATATTCCAAGCCAAAGTCATGAATGAACATCTGTTTTCTCTTACAGAAATGACAACTGTGATTATTACAAATAATTAGAATAACTTTGTGTTTCTAATGTCTTCATTTTCACTGTTATTGAAGGCCAGGTTATGTTGAACTAATTTATTTTTATTATTTGAATATTCTACGCTGCTGAATTATTCTGTACTCACCCTTGCAAAGCATTACTAATTAAAAAAAGTTTATAGCATTTTAATCAAAAATTCACTTTTGCATGTTTTTTTACTTCCATTTGAAGAACATCTAAAAAAAACACTCGGACTGTTTTTAGCAACAATTTAATGTTTTTTGATCCTGCCCGTTACCTAGCAACTCCAGCTGATCCTGCCCGTTGCCTAGCAACTCCAGCTGATCCTGCCCGTTGCCTAGCAACTCCAGCTGATCCTGCCCGTTGTCTAGCAACTCCAGCTGAGCCTGGCCCCGTTACCTAGCAACCCAAGTGAAGCTCCAGCATGGTTAGTCAACTAGTTTTCCCGCTTTATGGAAAATCAGCTGTTCTGTTGTTGACGTAGCGATTCAGAAAAGATGCTTGCATCAGTAGCGCCTGCAGCTGTGCACACTCTGCGTACCTTGAAATAGTTTTTGGATTTTTTATTATCTGAGACTCTTTACTGTGAGCAAATTTTGAGGAGAAAAAAAAACTTTTGCGACAAAACGTAGTGAACATTTGTACGAGTCTGTAGAGGTGGGCACGCCAAAGACTAAATGATATTGGTCAGTTAACTTTTCTTCATTTGGCGGCCTGGTGCTTTTTCTGTAAGCTAAAAATTAATGAGCCGAGTTTGAAAACTTCTTTAGTTCTAAGCGGTTGTTTGGATCCCGCTTGAGATTTGACAGGATTGTCGTTTATGAGCCTTTTTTGTGGTTTCTCAAACTGAAGAGCAGACGAGTCACCCGGTTGGCCAACAGTGACATCTGCTGCACACTCTCTGAGCGTTGTGCTTAGACTGTGGGTTAAACAGTTAAATCTAGTCAAAACGTTTGCAAAAAGAGTTTAAATTAAGCAAACACTGTTGCTTCACCTTCTCCTCCTCTGGATGTCTCAGACACACCACAGGGGTAGGCTTTGCTTTCATGTCTGTGTTGGAGATGTGGTTGTGCTGTTGTGGGTCAGGGTGCAGTGGTAGTATTGAGCGTACCAGCCATAATATTCTGCATGCGCCCTTGGTTTGTAAAATGTTCAAAGACGATTATAATTCTCCTTCTGTTTGCAGCCATTGAGTTGTGTGTGTGTGTGCGTGTGTGTGTGTGTGGGGGGGGGGGGGGGAGTAGCAGCATTTTATATGGATTTAAAGTGACAGAGGCCCTAAAACAACTCCTTCTGAACTGAGCAGACCAAGAATGATTTTTGCAACAAAAATTTTTTTATGAATGTGTTTTGTGTAGACCATAGACCTATTCTAATCTGTTCAGGAAGAATAAAGGTCACCTTCAGTTCTTCAGTGGTGTGACAACTGTCATTGTGTATGATTTACATTCAACTGGTGCTTTTCTGTTTTATTTATACATCTCTTTTTCCTTTTTGCTGGTTTAATAGAGCCTAACTTCTTCTCCAACAGTCTGACTTAGTTTTTCTCCTCTTCTCATAAAATATGACTACATCCCTCCACTCTTTCGGGGAAATGACATTTTTTGGTCTTTGGTTTCTCTCTGACTGATAAACTGGCCTGAGTTTCCTCTCATACGTTAGAAGTATGAGTTTACATTGCTGCTCTGAGGAAAAGCATACGAAACCTTTCGACCACACTTTTTTATGCTCTTCCTGCACTCGTTTAAGACCACTGTCACCTCAACCCCCTCACCACCTCCTGCCCCGTTTCTCTGAACGTTAAACGCCTCATATCGACATATGTTCACTTAGTTTCACTCCTGCACAAAGAACAGCAACAGATCGGTGAGTCGTCCCTGATTTTCTATGAAATCAATGCGTTTTAACTTAAACAAGTGCATGCATGCTTAGTTAGATCATCCGAATGGGTAAAAAAAATACTTGTGGCAAAGTTTCGATTATATTTAGCACTGTTTTCACTTAACTTCTATGAGCCGTTTGTGTCTTTATCAAATACAGCTGAGAAGAAATAAACGTCACCAGCCTTCTGCACTGCAAAAACAAAATCTCACCGAGTATTTTTGGTTTAGTTTCGAAGTTTTGTACACTTGAAATAAGACAAGTTTTTATCAAGGTATTGGAGCTTGTTTTAGTTAATAATTTTCTAATATTAATTACTATTGATATTAGGGGGCGTCTGTGGCTGCATGGTAGAGTAGTCATCTTGCGATCGGAAGGTTGTAGGTTCAATTCCAGCTTCCTCCTGCCACATGTCGATGTGCCTCTGGGCAAGGCACTTAACCTCCAATTGCCTACCAATCTGCGTCTGGGTGTATAAATGTGTGTGCATTTGTGAGTGCAAAGGGGTGAATGTGAGTCTAGTGTAAAGTGCTTTGAGTGGTCAAAATGACTGGAAAAGCGCTATATAAGCTCAGTCCATTTACCATACTGAGCAAAAGTGCAGAAATTATCATGTTGATGAAGGGAAGGGGGGGGAAAGTCAATAATTTGAGTAAATGTAAATAATGTGACACAAAAACTAAAATTAAAGGTTGGTAGAGACAATTTCTTTTAAAGAGAATATCCAGATGTTGCTAAAATATTCCAAAATGTTGAGAAGGAAAATGTTTGGGACAAAACAAAAAGAGGACCACAGTTAGACATGGTGGTGGCAGAATCATGCTCAGGGGTTACTTTTCCTCAGATGGAACTGCTTTTTTTTTCTAATTTGTTTTGACCTGAAATTTTATGGTGTCATCTGGAAATCCAAAAAAGAAGAAAGATGTTAGTTTTCAGAAACTCATTGGATTCCAATTCCAGATTTGAAGTTATCCATTTATCTGGATAACTTTGTAATGGTGGAGTCGGGAAATGACACAAAATCAAGACTGAATGTTGAAATTAGGTGGACATTTCTGTAACACTCAAGCTGAATTATTTATTTGCTGTTGAGCTACACAGGATAAAAATATTAACTAAATGGCATTTTAATAGGGGTTTACATACTTTGAGAGCCACAATGTGCTTTGAAAATACTTACAGTGGATCATGAAAATATTTGAATTCATAAGGAGATAAAAAGCTATTGTGTTAAGTTATTATGATAATAATATTATTGTTTTGACACCATTTCCAAGTAATAATGACATCATAATGCAAGAATATACTGAAAGATCAATAAACTTTAAATTCTAGTCAACATTTAACACTGGAACTAAAATATATTTTAAATATTCAAAATAAATACACAAAAGTCTGTGGAAACAGAATTGTCCTTCAACAACACGGCTAATTGAGACCAAAGCACCAAACCGAAGACTTTAGTCATCCTGTTTTTGGTAGGTAGAAAGAAAAGAGAAAAAGAATAAGTAATGCAAACAGAAACTATTGAGCAGTCTTAATGTATCAATATGATTAATTGATTTCTTGCAACAGGCCTACATTTCTTTTGCAGCGGCCAATGCTCTTAGTGGTTGCAGATATGAGAAACTTGCTAATGATATGCAACTTTGCATTTCTCAAGTGATTATATGCAGCTTTTTATTTACCAACTCAAGTTTTCTCAAACCACAATGCTTCAGATCCAATAAACCAAAATGCTTGATGGAATCTCCTTTATTGTAAATTGTGGCGCACATCTCAACACAATGTTGAATAAAACTAGAGTAAAGCAAATCATTGATTCTTTTTGACCATTTTCATCTTGGTAGTGCAAATTGGGAAAAAAAAGGCATATGAGATTAAGGTTAAAGTCATAGATGAAAGTCGTAGATGAAAGAGGTGAAAGAGATGAAAGAGATAACAGATATAACGATACCCACAAGGTTTTGACAAGAGATTTAATCTTCTTTGTTCAGAGCTGCATGAAATATGTTTGAAATAAAGATTTCATGCAACATCTGGACACATTGCAGGTCAATCAGGTCAGGAGAACAAGGTTTTTTTCGATACAGTTTAGTTTTATTTTGTTATGACTTTTTTCTTGGCAAAAAAAACAGTTAGTTTAGGTTGGACAGTCAGTATTTCATGAGTTTAAGACTACAACTGGCATCCATGACTCATTAAGAATGAGCTAAAGATGAATCATAACTGTACTAACTTTTTAATAGTTTTGAATCAGTAGTTTTAACTGCAGTTTTATATCTCTATTGTGTTTATTGTTGATCTTAACTTTTTATTTAACCCCTAATCGTGTTAAAGATCCTATTTGGACAGTAATGACCCTTTACAACTACGTCACGATGGACGTCGGAAATGAGGACCGGGATTATCACAGAGATAATCCCGGGACTTTCACAAGCTACTTTCTGAGAAAGTAGCTTCGCTGTGAAGCTAATTTCTCTCTGAAGCTAATTTCTCTCTGAAGCTAATTTCTCTCTGAAGCTAATTTCTCTCTGAAGCTAATTTCTCTGTGAAGCTAATTTCTCTGTGAAGCTAATTTCTCTGTGAAGCTAACTCACCTGATTGGGGCTCATAGACGGCGGTAAAAGTTTGAAACGGCTAGCTTAAAAACCGACCCAAACCTTCTCCCTCCAGACGTGCTGATCAAATGACCGACTTTGCCTGAATTAACACCACATGATTTTTTCACTTTGTCATAAACAGCGTTTCCACTTCAACCGGAGAAGCCTCAAAACCGTACATTAGACGAGATGCTAACCTGTTTCTTCCTTATAGGCTAGGCTAGGCTAGGAGCATTGTTTCCATAGTTACGCTGGGTTAGACACGTACCTTCTCCATAACTCTATATTTGATATCTTTCTAATCATACCTACTTTTCAAGTTTAAGATCGCTGCGTCTTCTTACCTTGTAGAAAGTTTTCACTGCAAATCCGCCATGACACTGAGATGCTAGTCATGATTCTTTTTTCTTATTATTATTTTATGGCGGCAGGCAAGCAATTTATTGATGTGCATTACCGCCATCTACTGGAATGGAGTGTGGATCGGGATGCTAGTTTGGTTTTCATCCTTGTCTGTCTGTGCAGCCGACCGCGCGTCCCCTTATGACCATTTTTACAGAGAAATCAACTCGATAAAAGCGGTAACTGGTCACCACAGGCTTCACGACATGATTGGTTGATTTTCACGGTGGTC